TTACCAACGTCATTCTCGTTGGTAACTAGGAGAAAAAAAAATGGTGCCTAAAAAAAACGACGCCTGAAAAAAATGGCACCTAAAATTTCAGAGATGATTTTCAACTTGTCACTGAAGATCTTTGTGTACTTCAGACGCCATCTTTGTCAGTGATTTACTGACATGGCCCATATTGCGAAGCATTTTCTTGTATTGGCAAACGTGATATTCGTCAGTGATCAGCTCAGAGCTCGAGGCCCCTCTCCATCTTCAGATGTTATCCTTGTCGGTAATTTACTGACGTGGAAACCAAAGATGTTTTTTGGTGAACTATTATGGTTCTTTCTTTGCAGGATGTTTCTTGTCGATAATGAGGAGTGCGTTTACCGACGTGATTTTCATCTACGTCGATGATTTAATTACCGAGCCCGGCTTCATCGACAAAGCCATTACCGACGTGATCCAAGTGGAAAGCTTGTTTCACGGACTAGATTCCCTCTTTTACTAACATGATTTCTCGTCGGTGACACAGTGAATTCTTGTAGTGAGAAGTAATGTAAAGAAAATAAGAAAAGTGAAAGGACAAAAACAAAAGATATTAAGCGCTTGATAGGTGCTTGCATTTATTTTTTCAAATTTTGCTGCTTTAATTTTGATTGACTTCTTTATTGTCATTTTTATTTCTATCTGTCTTATTACTGAGGCTGTGCTTTAATCATTTTGAGTTGCTTGAGAATATTGACAGGTAGATATGGTTATTTGTGAATACTAATATGGTTAAGATTAATAAAATTTTTATTTTTTAAAAATAATATTTTAAAATATTAATTTTCAACTAATTTTAATTATTGATAAATAAATATTAGTTAATAATTAATAATTATAATTATTAATCATTTTTTAAAATCAAATTAAATAAAATTATTATTTTTAAAGATAATATTCTATAATTTTAATAATCATAACATTATTACTAATGGCTAGGACTATATCCTAGACATGCAAGGATCTAGTTGTGTGGCTGATGTTGTCACCGATCTAGTTTGTACTTTTTATTTCTCCTGCTTTCTGGTTGCTATTTTGCTAATGAGTTCATCTTCTGAGTCACTGAGCAGAGAATGCAAAATGGCGGGGGTGTAACAAAGAATATTACTGATTTAGATATCCATACTCTCCATAAAGAATTGGATGAAGTCTCAGGCCCAAGCTGCATTGGCCATCCACATAATTGTCCTCTTGTGCAGCAAACAAGAAAAGGGTTGCAGATCTTGCATTTGTGATGCAAGTTACAGAAATTCAAATTGCCTGGATCATTTTAAAAAATAAGGGACAATTCAACATTACCCTATTCTGTACCATAAATATGTAAAATTTTGATTATATATATATATATATATAAATTTGGCTTCAAGAGCTGATTTGATTAAAGGAAACGGAAATCATGATATGAATGAAAGCAACAGAAAAACATTTGTTCGTTTGCTTGAAAGATTATAAGGAACATTAAACATCCAAGTAAGGAACATTCAATTTCCACCTGCATGGCAAACAACTCCTCTCGTCGCCGCTGCTAGGGTTTTCCTCTCCGATGGGTGAGCCTCTCACTTCGATGCTTCTCCCTGTTTTTTCAGGGCCTCTCCTCTTTATTTCTTACTTTTGTCTCGATTTCCTATTCCCTTCTTGGATTTGAATTGCATATTGGCCTAGGGAGATCTCGGGGAGGACTCTGTGATTTTAGATATAAAGCTGCTTTGTCTCCTACACATGCCCACCATCATTTTCCTCTCTAAAACAAAGCGATCCACTATTGCGATGCATCTAATTTGTTTAGATCTAGGGTTTGCATACGACTTTCCCATTGATTGGGTTGATAGGGGGTGGATTGGCTCTGCTTTGGACAAATGTTTCTCAACTGAAACAATCCTTTGTTTCACAACCCCCTGTTGCTATTATAATTGTTGATCCGGGTGGTTGTCATTGGAGGTTGATTGGGTTTTTCGGCCGAAAACAGGAGGAAAGGAATGCAGTTGGTGACGCTAATGGTGTTCTAAAAGGGGAGAACTCTATTCCAGTCGCTAAAAGGGCTCTCGTTCCCTTAATGCATTTTGGCAACATGGGATTAAAGAGGATTGGAACAGTTAGGGCCATGGCTGGGAGTTCATGGAGACAAGGGAGGTGCCTGGGCTTGGATGGTGGACCATGCCCCTCCTGTTGATTATTCCTCAATCAATAGATAGGGCAGCAACTTGTGGGTTGGCGATTGTTTGTTGCCGAAATCCCTTGCTCTCCCCATGAAGCTAGTTAAATAGGTGAGGACTTGTCCAATAGTTTCTAATGCTCATAGCGACTCTTCTTTCTACATTAGTAGCTCTATTTAGCCCATACAGCGATTGTAATCACAATTTCTAGTTGCAGATGACTCTTTTTACTTAATTGTTTATATCCATCTTGGATATAATTTAAATCTGTTACTAGTGTTGTAAGTTATGCTTCTGATTTCTATTTTTAGGATATGCTGCTTTAGGCTATATTGTCATAAGATAGAAATTTACTTTGTAATTTTTCATTATTTAATATATTTCTTTATTTCCTATAAAAAAGAAAAAAAAAAAAGTTCCACCTGCATGGCAATTGCATTCGTTTTCTAACTCTTTATTTCCTCATTCATTCGTAATTATTTTCATAAGCATTAATTTATAAATAATTATTTTTTTTTTTGACCAGGTAGATGGTTAGGAAATTAGTAGAGTTAGTTTGTTAGCAGCTGGAATTTTTTCAGGAAAGTGAACGTTCTACCTCTTTATTTGAGGCGCGCGACCATTAGGTCGCAAGTTGGTGGAGTTCACGGCGGTGGCAGAGCTCGAAGCCCTGACCTCCGCCTCACCGAAACCCTGATCTCCGCCTCACCCAAGCCCTAAAGCTTGAGGGCCAACCAATTAGGCCACAGCTCCGGTTGGCATTTATAAATAATTAATTAAAGGGTACTTAGAAGAAGCAAACGTCAAATCACGCATGTTCAAAAAAAAAAAACGTCAAATCAGTGTTCTTTGAAAATCTTTGTGGAAAACCTATGCTCTTTCAGGCCCAGTGGCGGCCATCCCTTGGGAGTAAGTGAGTTGGTTATGGGTGTGGAAGTTAAAAACCCAGTCTCCTTGTAAATTGTAGCCCCTTTCCCCCACAAATACGCCTTTTCAAAAAATAAATAAGGGTTTATCTGCAAAGCTTCCAAGGTTGTTTTAGCTTTTATTTAGTTTATATCCTGTTTGGTAAAATTTTTAAAAATTATTTTAAAAATAATTTTTTTATAAATTTAAAATTTTATTAGAAAGAAGTTTAAAAATTGATATTTAAAATAGTTTTTATTTTAAAACTAATTTTTAAAATTTTCTCTAATAAAATTTCAAACACCTTCTTATCACGTGTTACTAATAACCTCTTTCCTTATAAAATAAGTGATTTTAAATTTGAATTATATAGTATGT